CAACAAACAATGAAGCAATATCACACCCTCAAGACTGCTGTACACCATGTCGAAATTCTATGCTCACAAGCACTGCAAATAAAGCAAAAAACCGGTGACGAGCTCAAAATCAAGGCGTATTCGACTAGTTCGTAACTGGTGGGACTGTTCTGAATTCCGAGAGGCTGTTTAGCAGGTGGTGTGATGCCTTGTCGAAATTAACAAATCCCATGAACCAGAAGTCGTGACCATCGGTCGTAACAATCTGAATGTACTTCTCAGGGGGGTTCTCCTTCATGACAACCGGATTGACCGTTCCGATGTTCCCTAAAGGAATCATAACCTGTTCGAAACATGACCGATTAAACAGTCAGCGAGTACGAAAACGCTCGATCAAAGTCTGTCATAGCATACCAATTCATCTGAATGATGATTTCGATGTTTTAGAATTATACAAAGTTTACCTTGTAGTAGCTCCAAGCCTCCTGACCCGATGGTGCAGTGAAGGACAGGGGACGGTCGCTGCAGAACGCCACGCGAGCGGTGGACAGGTACAGTGTTCCCGCAACGGGGCCGGTCGATGTCGAGAGGTAACAAGCGAACATCTTCTTCAGCTTCTCATTCGGATCAGTCGTGAAAATCTGCTTGAAGAGCGACTCAAATCCTCCTTCCGATATCGCTTTCGCCGTCAGGTTCACCTTGCCCCACGCAGCTCCGGACACCGATTGCCCCGTTTTCACTGCAGATTTATGCGCACAGCAATTATCAGTATCAATAGAGCAAAAGAACATTGAACTTAGTTTATCATTTCCGTACTCGATCTTCTTCTAGTTTATGCACAAAATTTTCGTACAACAATCAACATACGACTCTGCGAGAAGTTGCAGACTCTAGTCTCTACACCTTCCCAATTTTAAATCGAACAACTGCATCTTAAACTTCAACTAGGTCATAATTCAGCTCAGTTCTAGCACCTTGAAATTCAAAACTTGCCCATCAGTACGTAATACGTAGGGAAAAGTTTGTGCCATGGTATGAACTTATAGGTACTTACAATTGTGCCAGATGTTGCGGGCTATGGTCTCGGCCCTCTTGCTCCAGGTATTGAACATGTGGATCACGGACTCGAGCGGGCTGCTGTTCGACCTATCGATGGCCTCGTACTGGACGTAGGGCTGGTGGCTGATCTGCTGGTGGTCGGCCGCGTTCCACGAGGCGGCCTTCTGGTTATCCGGGTGGACGGTGGGGACGGCGGGCGTGCCCATGACGTGGGTGCCCCATTTCTTGGCCTCCTCCTCGCTCGGCGGCTGCGGCTGAGAGGAGGAGGAGGAGGATGGCGCCGGCTCTGTCGGGGCGAACGGAGAAGAGGGTTGGTGGGATTCCGGCGCAGCAGCCGCCTTGGGAGACGATGGTTTCTCGGGAGTGCCCGTCATGGTTGGTCGAACAGAGAAAGAGGGTTGGTATGTGTAATTTGTGTCTGATGAACAAAAGACCTGCTTTGCTTTGCTTTGCAATATGACACGAAGAGAGACACGAGGCGATTTTATAGAGGAGGATGTATGGAAAGACTCTCTGTGATGCAATCTGCAGCTTTTCTTTCTCACACGGTTCTCTTTGATTCCTTTGCGATTAAGAATGAGATGGGAACACATGAGATAATATGATTGGATCTATACGATCAAAGCTTGGCATAATACTGTTTGTTACCTTCGAGAAGGGGCATTTGAGTAAACGGATTGGCAAAAAATTGAAGATGCGTTTCGCCTACGCGGCCCGTTGACCAGCGGCTGGCTGCTTTGCCTTGGCAAGAAATTGAAAGAAGCTTCCGGGGTGCGCCGCGAATCGAGATTAGTAACTAATCCCTCTATGAAACCCAGCAGCTCACGTGGGTTCTTGCCACGTGGCGGGTGGCATTAATGTGGTGGGTCCATGTGTCACGCGAGCTACTCTATGAAAATAATAAGGAAGAAAATCATGACAAGCTAAGCTAATAGTAGTGTTTCGAAATGAAAATACGGTCGCGCAAGTTGCTGTAGAAAGTCTCGGAAAATACAGTGTTCCTGCCCCGCCTGGATCACGAGGACGCGAAGACTTTTGGGTGTGTGGATGACGGTATTTTAATCAGAAAGCCCGGCCCAAAGAGTTGCGTATAGAGAAATTTGTACGGGGTGGGCTCGGCCCAAAGATTTTGCTTGGACCGGCCCGAGCTCGGGCTCGATCAACTCTATCGTAAATCGAGTTTGGAGCGAATCAAGGGTTAAGGCACGTGCTGTGCACGTGTTCCTAATTGGGTGGTTGTGCATCGGAAAAGAGCGAATGGTTACTGAAGATGCTTGTGATCATAAGAAATCCAGGGTTAATATCACGAAAAATCATAAACTGGTATACTTGTGATAAATTTACTCTAGAGTAATGTTTTTACCACGACAAAACCTTAAATTGGTACACTTGTGACAATTTTACCCTATGTTAGTTTCCGTTAAATTTTACCGTTAAATTTCTGAATTGGATGACACGTAGCAGTTGACGGGTATATCAGTTTGGGGTTTTACCCTCCGTCTGTCATAGGTGTACCATTTTGTGATTTTTCGTGATATTAATCCAATTTAACGGAGGGTAAATTTATTACAAATGTATTAGTTTGGGGCTTTTCGTGGTATTAACCCGAAAATCTATTATGTTTATCTATCTCTAAATTTTAGCTAGAACCAAGTTTTGTTTGGCTTAACTAGTAAGGGTTTTCATCAAACCCGGTCCAACTCAGTAACCAGACCGGATCAAACAAAATCGATCGGTTCAGGGTGTTTCTCGGTTCCAAATAAGGAATTGGACCGATCGGATTGCCCGGACTGGACAAGATTTCTCAATTTTATTCTAAAGTAAACCCTAATTAGTAAATTATATTTTTCATTTAAGGTTGGAAAACGCCCACTTGTAGGGAAGAGAATATGCCAAAAAAAGAAGAAGAAATCATCGGTTCAGAGACCGACCTTGACCGAACTGTTCCAATTCTAATTAAGATTGGGCGGGCCAGTTCCTAGTTTCACAAACTGGGAACAGACCATGCCCGGTCCATTTCCAAATTCCCAGCTGATGACCCCTATTAACCGGTAAAAAGAACATTTTAAAGCACGTTTGGATCAAGTATACTCTACATCCAAAGCGAGTCTATGATTCTTAGAAAGCAAGTCGTGTCACGAGCTTTTTACCATTGGATCGAAATGTAAAAAAATAGCGTCCATCAAAGTCAACATCAGCTGAACGGCTGAGATCTATTACATTTCAATCCAACGGTGAAATATTATATGTTCATTGTGTCTCTTGAGAACAGTAGAGTGATCCCTCCACATCCACCTGCACATTTTGGGAAAAAAAAGGGGATAATGACACAAATAGTCCCTGAACTTTGGCCCAATGTGCAGTGTAGTTCTTGAATTTTTAATTTGTTTAATGTGTTTCCTAAACTTTAACCCAATGTGTAATGTGATCCCCAAACTTTCAATTTGTTCTAAATCTCTTTGCAACAAAGGACAGAATGTGATCTTTTGGCTCGTCAAGTTATGATCTAAATACTCTATGTTTTCAAAATAAGTACATTGGAGAGATATGCATTATCCCTCTTTCATCGCGGCACATGTTTTTGTGTTCATTTATCAGGATCAATTTTTTTTCTTAAATAATATGCTACAGTGTGCATTTATTTATTTTTTGGTTCACTGCAGAAGCAAACAAAAGCAATCGCATAACGCGTGTGCGAGGGTTAGTTTCTATTGTACAGAAAAGTTATAGCTTAGGAAATCTAAAAGTGAAGTGAAGGTCACTATTAGCATAATAATATAGATGGATAGATAGTATAATATTATCTCTCTTAGTTGTTATAAATTACATTCGCCGGTATTCATTAATCAAGGACATAAAATTAGGAGAAAAGACGATGCTAGAAATATCATGTTAATAAATAAAAGAAGGGTTAATACCACGAAAACCCCCAAACTGGTAAACCTCTGACAAATTTATCCTAAATTAATTTTTTGACCACCAAAAACTCAAAACTGATACGTTTGTGACAAATTTACCCTCCATTAAATTGGATTAATACAATAAAAATCACAAATTAGTACACTTGTTAACCCGAAACTGGTACATCTGTCAATTATCACATGTCATTTAACTACATAATTTGACAATAAAATTTAACGGAAACTAACATATGGTAAATTTGTCACAGGTGTACCAGTTTGGGGTTTTTGGTGGTCAAAAAATTAGTTTGGAGTAAATTTATTACTGATGTACTAGTTTGGGATTTTTCGTGATATTAACCTATAAAAGAATCATAATCTCTTGAGATGAAATTTGAATAACCATTACTTGTAGCATTGGCTCGATCCCCACAAGCCCACCTCCAAATTTTTGTTGGCATCAAGCTCTTAGAGTGACTTCATAAATATAGGGACGAAAAGGAAGACTTTTCCGCAATGCGACGAGGAAGCGAAAGAAACGCTGGCATTTTGAAATACCTCTTGTACATCGATCACATCAACTGTTATACTAAGTCCACGCAATGTATTCTTGAAATTTGTTAAATTATCTCACATCGATTGTCCGTTTTGGAATTCATACGCTCTTTATATACGCGTGGTCCCTTTTTATCTATTGATCTAAACTTTCGAGTTGAACTTTCTAGTATCATATCATAGTAAGAGTATTCGAGTTTAAATTTTTACATGCTCCTTATTTGCTTCCCTTATTATAATCCAAATTGTGCGTGAGAGAAAGCGTTAGATTATTTGAATATTCACGTCTTCATCTAATAGCTTAAATTTTTAGAACCATAAAATTTTACGTGATATCAGAGTCGGGTTCTGCCGAGTTTATTCCGCGTGTCCGGACCCATTCGTCAAGTTCCACATGTCGCTTCCGATTCGGCTTGCCCACGAGAGAGGTGTTGAAATATCTCACATTGCTCGTCTGTTATTTATATAGTCTTTTCCTTCAACTATAAACTTTAACTTTTGGGTTGAATTTCTGACAAAATTTAAGATTCGATTAGAACAGATCCATATCTTGCCGGGGGGTAGCTGGGTTGAATGTTTGGTGCACTTAAAGCGAGAGTGGTTGACCTATGGGCATTGCCGTGTCTTTATACCAACTCGGACGAAAAGCAGAGTCAGCCACACGAACTTGCTCGCAACCTATACCTACTGATAAGTGCCTAAACGAAAACAGTTTCACTGACCTCGTTGTTTATGCGGTGAATCGATTGTCTGTTCGTTTCTTTCTTTCCAGGATCGATAAAACCTTCGTCGCTTGATTGCTCACTCAGCTCGCTCGACCGTCGCTGGTCTCGTCCGCCGGAGCTCCTTGGCCTATGAGTTACCACCCGGTTCCTCCCGATCCGTACGGCCCCCCGCCGCCGCTGCCGCCGCCTCCACCGGGTACGCCGCTTGTTGTGTTCTATGTTAGTTAGCAGTGCTGTGATCGCTAGGAATCTTTCGCAGTTCGAGTTTAGGAAGTACGAGTGTGACTGTGTGGGTGGAAAGTTAGTTAAGAGTATAGCAGGGGCTTCGTGGGATTGCTCGAGATTTCGACTTCTGATTGTCGGAATTCAGGTCCCGAAGGGCCCTATCCACCTCCGCCGCCTGGGTTCCCGCCTCCGCCACCGCCGCCTGGATACCCGCCTCCGCCTCCGCTGCCGCCTCCTGGTGGATACCAAGGTTACTTCGATCCTCCGCCGCCTCCGCCTCCGCCGGGGCCTCCACAGGAGGAGGAGCGAGATGATTTCTACTGTGGTTGTACGAATCTCATTAAAGGATGGTATGCATAACTCTGTCATCTAGTAAAAGGAAAGGATTACCTATGAATAGATTCATCCAATCAATTATGTTTGCTTCCGAGATTCAATGCGGCATGTCGGTGTTGCGATTTCTTAATGTTGTTGGCTTGATCTAGTCAGAATAGTCTAGACAGTACTCACTCCTCTGCATCTGTTTTTCTGCTTACGGACGACAGGATCTGCATTTGTGCAAATGGTGGGTACCCGAGAGAACTTACGTAAAAAAGCTGCTTCATTTCGCTTCCCTGTATCCATATTATTCAGGACTAGCCGATATATGTTGGACCAAACTACTTGTCGGTTCAGTATGAGAACCAATGTTTTCGAAAAGGCCACCTTAAACTGCATCAAATCATGAAAAGCCGTACTTGATTTGGTTCAATTTGGTTCGACCTTTGTAGTCACTTGTCGGCTCGCGTTCAAGATTCAACTAAGAGACTTGATATGTCTCAATGTACCAGGACTCTGTTTGCTTCTTAGCGTCGTCCTACTTATGGAAAATGGAATTTATTTTCCAAAACCGTCTCTTCCGTGTGCAGGAGTGTCTGATTTCTCACATCGGTGGTTTTGCATTTGCAGTTTGGCTGCACTCTGTTGCTGCTGCGTATTGGAGGAGTGCTGCTTGTAGGCGAATTCGCGTCCTTCGCAGTCGAGACTGCCTCCTTTAGACTAAGTCACTTCAAATCTAGACGAATTGTTAGACTTCTCGGACCCTCGATCTGAAGCAGACGATAAAGGGCTAAGAATGGCTAGTGTATTTTCGTCTGCTGTTTAGCAGCACTACCGTCTGGAATCAAGGATAATGTCCTGTGCTTGTTTCTGATAACACATCCTTCTGTATTCATCTGAACCATCTTCTTTTCTGCAGAAGAAAACAGAACCTGCATTTAAATCACACATAATTGCAATGTACGAGATGCTTAGTTTCAATTTGATCTTCTGTATTATGAGTCCATTATGAATCTAAGATCAAATACTCTGACATGGAGATCGTGCAATACTTCATGCTCCCGATCCCAGTTCTCATAATCTTTCAGAGCACATCGATCGATCATTTGATCACGTGAACCGGACACATGGCTCGAATAATTTAGTGGCTCATGTGAACGTGACTCGTACAGTACGCAATACGATTTATGCAATTCTTTCTCCTTATCCTCCTCCACCCTTAATTTTTCTTCAGAGGAAGTGTTTACCTACTCAATTCCTCATTCTGGCTCTTGTTCAAAGAATACTTCGGGGGTGGGCACCGAGAGACAAAGTCGCTGATTTTGCTAGAGAAAATCGTGATTGCTTGCTTGTATTTGTACAAATATTTATACAACGTATTTGCTTAATAGAAAAAGAAAAGAAAATATCTACCATGTCTCTAAACTAATTATAAAAGATATACTAAATATTATCCTGACTAAAGCTAAAAAAATAAATTTAACTAATGATAAGAGATGTACACCAAATATTAGAATAACGGAATGTAAATCTAAGCAAATCTTCCATAACAGAGACCACCAATCAATTTAAAACATGATATCGCTAATTAGAAATTTCCCAAACACTCCTAATCCTAAGTCGGTGCAGTCCCTTGGCCTCCAAGTTAACCAATCCCTATAAAATATAAACCTCCAAGCCAAATCCATCAATTAAATCATCATCAATGGCTCCTCCTCCTCCTCCTCCTCCTCCCCCATCATCTCTCCACCCCCTCCTCGGCCCGCCCGAATGCCACGACCCGCCGCCTTGCCGAGCCCGGCCCGCTCCCGCCCACCGCTTCACCGACCTGATGGATGCCAACTTCAACGACGATGGCGACGACTCGCCTCAGAAGGGCTTCACAGAGAACAACTCGGCCACGTTCCTGTCGACGGGCAACTCGTGCCTCGACTTCTTCTTCCACGTGGTCCCCGACACCCGTCCGAGTCCCTGACCTGATGGCTCGAGTCAGCCTGGGCCCACGACCCGCTTACCGCCCTCAAGCGCCCTCAAGCTCGTGTGCAACCTCCGGGGCGTGCGTGGGACCGGGAAGTTGGACAAGGAAGGTTTCCACGCTGCGGCGACGTGGCTATTCAAGAACCACCCCCGGACCCTGGCCTGCAACGTTGGGGCCTTCGTGGGGTTCGGGTACTTCAAAGACTTGCCCGAGATCCTCTACCGCCTCCTCGAGGGCTCTGACATAAGGGCGAGGCAGAAGCGCGAGTGGCAACAGAGGAAAGGCACCAAAAGCAGGCAGCGATTGCAATCATTTCCAGCGTTCAGCTGCCGCAACAAATCCAGAAGAAAGAAGGGGAGAAATAGCTTGAGGACGGCCACAGCTTCGGTGCCCAAGGAAGTGAGGGTCGCGAACGCAGTTGCGCGTAACCGGGAGCAGAAGCAAAAGGCGAGCGAGTTGAGGAACAAGAAGAGAATTGCCAAGGCCAGGAAGCTCCTGGAGCGGTACAATCGCGATGGGGACATCCGGTTCCTCCATGACGCGGTGTCTGGGCACTTCGCCCATTGTCTGACGGCTGACCTGGAGTTTCTGAAATCCGGGGAGATCCACAGGATCAGCCTCGCTGCCAAGTGGTGCCCGTCACTTGACTCGTCCTTCGACCTCGGGACGCTGCTCTGTGAGAGCATTGCGAAGCGGGTCTTCCCACGGGGCCGGTTTCCCGAGTACAAGGGCCTTGAGGAGGCGCACTACACGTACAGGGTCCGGGACCAGCTCAGGAAGGACGCCCTTGTGCCACTCCGGAGGGTCCTGGAGCTGCCGGAGGTGTACATGAGCGAGGGGCGGTGGAGCGACATCCCGTACGACCGGGTCGCCTCCGTGGCCATGAAACTCTACAAGGACAAGTTCCTGAAGCATGACGGCGAGCGGTTCCGGAGCTACCTGGCCAACGTGAAGTCGGGGAAGGCCACGATCGCCGCCGGCGCACTTCTCCCTCATGAGATTGTAGCCTCACTCGACGACCCCGAAGGGGGCGAGGTCGCGGAGCTTCAGTGGAAGCGGATGGTGGAGGATCTATCCAAGGTGGGGAAGTTGGAGAACTGCATTGCGGTATGCGACGTCTCGGGGAGCATGTCGGGGACGCCGATGGAGGTGTCGGTGGCGCTCGGGCTGTTGGTGTCGGAGCTTAGCCGAGAGCCGTGGAAGGGCAAGGTGATCACATTCAACGAGCGCCCTTGGCTCCACGCGATACAAGGCAACGACTTGCGCTCCAAGACCGAATTCATCGAATCGATGGAATGAGGTTACAACACCAACTTCCAGAGTGTGTTCGATAGGATTCTAGAGGTGGCCACCGCGGGGAAGCTGAGGGCGGAGGAGATGGTCCAGAAGGTGTTTGTGTTCAGCGACATGGAATTCGACCAGGCTTCCTCAAACCCATGGGAGACGGACTATGAGGCGATCACGAGGAAGTTCCGGAAGCATGGGTACGGGGCTGCGGTGCCGCAGATCGTGTTCTGGAACCTGAGGGACTCGAGGTCGACGCCAGTGGCAGCGAAGCAGGCGGGGGTGGTGCTGTTGAGCGGGTTCTCGAAGAACCCGATGAAGATGTTCCTGGAGGAGGAGGGGTGCATAAGCCCCGTGGCCATCATGGAGGCCGCCATCTCGGGCGAGGAGTACCGGGACCTCGTCGTGGTTGATTGATCGATTCAGTTATTTCGTTTGTTTATTTAGGAGTCTTTAGGAAAGAACGGGAACAAATGCAAAACAAAAACAAGAAAAGGGTTTTGTTTTTTTTTTTTTGTTAATTTTGCCAGTGACTACCTAGCCTGCTTCTATGTTGTTAAATTATATTTTTCTTGGTTGGATGATGAGACCACGAGCAATGGAATCCAACAGGTAATCATGTTAAAGTACATAAGCTAACCTTGCAAAGACTTTTAGTCAGACTAATATATGCTCAGACCGGAAGGTGATCCGATTTCCCCATTTTCAGAAACTATAGGTTTCTCTAAATCCCATAAGATCAGGTTATATGATCTAAATACTTTATGTCACGCAATATCTCTCTTTCGCTGTGGCACATGTTTTTGTGTTCATATTTTAATCACAATTGAAATTTTTTTTTTTAATAATATGCTACAAGTGCGCATTCATAAAGCAATTACATAACGCGTGCATGTGGGCTGGTTTCTATTATGTGAAAAGTAGTAACTTAGGAAATCTAAAAGTGAATTAAAGGTCACTTTTAGCATAATAATCTAGATGGATAGATAACATGATCTTATCTCTCGTAGTTGTTAAAAATTACATTCGATGGTTTTCATTAATTAAGGACATAAAAATAAGGAGAAAAGGCAATGCTAATAAATAAAAGAATGATAATATCTTGAGATGGAATTTGAATAACCAGTTCTTGCAACATTGGCTCGATCCAGACAAGCCCATCTCCAAATTTTTGCTGTCATCATCATCAAGCTTTTAGAATGACTTCATAAATAAAGAGATGAGGAAGTGCAAGAAACAATTGCATTTTGAAATACCTCTTGTATATATCAATCACATCAACTATAGAGTAATTAAGTCTATACAATGCAATCTTGAAATTTGTTAAATTATCTTACATCTCTTGTCCGTCGCGGGTTACACACTCTTTATATACACGTGGTCCTCCTCCGTCTATTAGTTTAAATTTTTGGGTTAAACTTTCTTTGATATAGTAAGAGTTCTCGAGTTTAAATTTTTACATGCCCCTTATTGGCCTCCCTTATTATATATAGGCTTAGTCTTAGACCAAACTCCACATATTAATCAAATATTAAACCACGTTGTTTGTAACCATAAAATTTTATGTGGTATTAGAGTTAGATTCTGCCCGGGAAAAGTATCCAAAATGTCCTAAATATATTGTATTGGTATTGATCTAGTTCTTAACCTTACAATTGAATCAATTTAGTCCTAAAACTTTTTCACATTGATATCAATTAAGTTCATCGGGCCAATTTAGGCAGGAAATTGCTAACGTGAATGTTAACCGTCCTACGCGGTATAATGGCGGTGACGTGGACATTTTTTTAAAAATATTTCATTAATTTTTTCTTTTCTTTTTTTTTCTTTCCTTCCTCTTTTTTTTCTCCTTATTTCCCTTCGCTAGTCGCCAGCCTCAGTGATAGGCTGGCAGAGATGATTTCTACTGCAGTTGTACTGATCTTATTAAAGGATGGAATGCATAAAAAAACTTTAGTAGGCTCTAATATCATGATAGAATGTCCAATCAAAAAACTTAAATTGATAGGTGCAGGGAGATCACATGAATATAAATAGCATTTATGACCTAGGTTTTCGGAAAAACCACCTTAAACCGAATCAAATCATGAAAAACTGTACTTGATTTGGTTCAATTTGGTTGGACCTTTTTTGTTATTTGTCGGCTCGCGGTCAAGATTCAACTGACAGACTCCGTATGTCTCAATGTACTAGGACTCTGTTTGCTTCTTGGGGTCATTCTGGTTATTGATTATGCAATTTATTTTCGTAACCATCTCTATGCATTTGCAGCTTGGCTGCGCTCTGTTGCTGCTGTGTATTGGAGGAGTGCTGCTTTTAGGCATAATTTGCTGCGAAAATCCGGATTTGTTAGGCTTTCCGGGCTGTTGATCCGAAGCGATGATAATGGCCAAGATTTCATCCTAGCAGCACTACCATGTAGAAAAAGAAAATGTCCTGTGCTTGTTTCTGATGATAATACATCCTTCTGTATTCATCTAAACTAACTTGAATCTGCACAAGAAAACGAAACCCGCATTTTTTCTTTTAACCTCAGATATTGCGACGTACGAGACGCGGGTTCTTGAGCGGCGTCAAAAGGCGATTGATGTTTAGCTTCATTTGTGATTGCATTATGTGATAGAAGAGTTTATTAGATGCTCAAATAGAAAAACGCTCAGTTCATTAACTCTTAATCTTCTCTTAAGGATCGGCTGTAGCTGCATCGGTTCTCATTCGA